TCTCCTCCCAGCAGAGGGGTTCCAGCCCTCGCATCATTGCTGGGGCCTCCTCTGGCCCCGCTCCCACAGCTCCAGCTCTGTCCTGTGCTGAGGGCCCCAGAGCTGGACGCAGGACTCCCGGGGGGTCTCAGCAGAGCAGGGCAGAGGGGCAGAATCCCCGCCCTCGCCCTGTGCCCACACTGCTGGGGATGCAGCCCAGGGCACGGTTGGCCTTCGGGGCTGCCAGCGCACACTGCTGGGTCGTGTTGAGCTTATGCAGAGAGTGTGAGCTGCCATGGGAGGAGAAGAGGTGGAGGGAGGATGGGGTGGAGGGGAGCTGCGGGTGCTCCTGGGGAGAGTTCCTGGGATCAGGTGTCAGTGGGAGACTGGAGCTGCCTAGGGATGGGGAGACGGGAACTGGGAGAGGGTGAGAGTCAGGACTGGGGTGGGACAGCAGGAAGGAGCTGGGCTGCAAAGCATAGGCTGCAGGCTTTGTACCCGCTGGGGCAGTGGCTCTCGTTTGAAAGGAATGATTGAAAAGGCAGCAGTCCAAGTGTGGCAGGAGAAACATACATTAAGAAGTTTTTTAGAATGCAGTGGTGTATGGACATGCTTTTTCTTCGTGTGCTCTTCTGCCTCTTCCAAACTGAACAAAGTGTTCTGCTCAGACGTTTGTGTCTTGCATGACTTCTGTGAGCTCAGTGTTCCCGAAGGAGGAGAGGGAATGCTTGTCAAGCCATCTTGGTCTCCAGGATTTTCTAGTCTCCACTGGGCATGAAATTCTCTCAAGTATGGAGTTCAACGTGCTCCTTTCCCTGCTCCTCCCAGCTTGTTGCCTGGTGGCGAAATGCTTCCGCTTCCAGAAGCAATAATAATGTGGTTGAGTTGTGTGAGAATTTTGACCCCCAATTTTTTTGTTTTTGTTCTTCTTTGCATAATGGCTTCTCGCAGAAACAGCCCTGTGGGGAACGGAGCTGACTTCCATAGGTCTGTGGACTTTCAGTTGTGGGCAGCAGACCGGACAAGAAGGTTCCAAGCAACACACTAGGAACTAATAGGAAAAATGGGGTTAGAATCTTTCTGTCAGCGATGTAGAAAGGAAAAAGGACATCCAGCAAAATAAAACTCTCTGAATACAATGGTAGGAAATACCGATCTTCAAGTGGTAGCGCTCCTTGCCGACCATCCGCCCTGCCCGCCAGCTCGGGTTAGAAATAGAGGATGGCTCCTCTGCCATCCTTTTCTTGCCCCATGTCCACGGTGCTCGGAGCAGGACCCTTGGAGCTGGTCAGGACTTGCAGTGACAGTTCTGATCAGCTCCTCCCTCCAGCAATCTGCAAAATACCAGAATATGGATAGAGCTGTTGGTTATCTACTGCGGATGACGTCGTAAAGACCGTTTCCCATTTTATTTTTAGATCATGAGGAGGGGGAGAAAATCGTTGTAATGACGTGTCTGAAACACTGAAGACACCTGCGACAGTCTTACATTCATTTCCTCAAGTAATGCTTTTATTTTGCAGCATTGGGGATGATGTGTCTGTTTTTCTCCTGCCAGATCTCTTATTTATTTAGATCTGATGAGTCTTGCTCCTGGCATCTCTTCTAGGATGACAGTAATGTCTTTAAGGAAGAGATTCCCCTGTTCCGGGGCTGGGTGACTGATGGTGCTCGCTCCCCGTACCGAGAGAAGCCGAGGCAGACAGCGATGTGGTTCCTGGCGTACCCTGCAGCCAGGATAAACACGAACATATGGTGCCAAGGAAGTTTGTTGCGGGCCTGAGCTGAAGATAAATACTACAAGCTGTTATTTCAGAAGGGTGGCACAGGATGAGGATTGTTGCAAAGAAAACAAATAGTGTCACAGAAACATAAATGAGATTTGCGCTGACGTCTGTCAGGATTCTCCGCTCCTCCGGAGGCTCTGAGACGCGAGTCCCTGCTGCTCCTGCCACGTGGCGGCCGGCGCCACCC